ATGGCCTAGCTGCCAACAAACAGCACTCATGCCAAAACCTATCGCCTAAGAGGGAGTGTGTGTGAATGCGTGTGTGTGGTCAAACAATCCCAAAAATAAGCCCATAGCGGTGTCTTTGAGCGACCTCATAGAGTTTTAGAGGCAGAGAAGGTGTGAATTTATCCCAGGCAGTAAAAGGTTAATGGGTATATTTAGAGCTTCTCTCGGGCTCAATCGTACATAACGGCCGAGCAGCCCATGAGGCAACAGGAAGAAACTTTCCCTTTGCTTTAAAGCAAACAGTTAAACACAGAGAATATGTTTTAATGGCTCAATAATAGCCCTATTAACTGACAGATATCACTGATGTAAGTGTCTTGAAATATAACAGTCCTAGGATCAATAAACTACAAAAAAAGGATTGTTTTTGTTGTTTTTTTTACTCTAAATCCAATAACCGATAAATGGACAACATTCAAATTCTATATTGTTTTGTTTGAATGAATTAAAGCTAAAAGACTAAAAAGTTTCATAAATTGTAAATGCTACAAACAGTTTTAGGCATTAGGGTCAGTTTATCTCAAGTGGTCCAGTGGAGGTTGTTTGACCATTTTTTATTTTCCTAATTTCCGCTGTGGTTAAACAGTGCTTAAAATGCAACAGTATTCTTGTAGGGCGTGGGTTTAGAAAGAGGGGGGCGTGTCCAAATCAGCAAGTTTAGTTTTAGAACAGCTAACATACAGCACCATTAACTCAACTCTTGACATTCTCTTAAAAGACGATTAACAGTGAAGGCTGGAAGAAGAGGCAGAGGTTGCTGAGGCTAAATGCTAAACAAAACCTTATAGAAATAGGTGGGTCAAGAAGAAAAAGCAAAAAAGAGAGAGGCTGAAAACAGCATACTATTTCTCTAGTCGGATCCAGGTGGGCTGTCTGGGTGTGATCACTCTAAAACATAATTCCAGCCTGGAGAACGAGGAATGATGCATGTGGAGAAAGAGGTATGGAAGACAACGCGTCTCTTCCCCCTTACCTCCAGCTCACACCCCCCAAACAGGCCCCTAATTGAAAGACGAGAGTAGCCCAGACCTTGACAGGCGGGAGGTCAGTCTAATTGCTGCTGGCCATATTTAACATTAAGATAATCAGCCCATTAATTACCCTTTGGATCATTAAATCAGTCGCTTGCAAAATGAAATTTCGAGCTCTATTACTCACTTGAGAGACCACGAGGGAGGGTTTTCATTTATCAGCCACCAATCCTGGATGCAGAGCGCACACACCAATGCCTGAGCTGTTCACCAAGACACAAGCTTGCTGAGTATCAGCATTTAGCGACAAGACAGCGCTTCAAATGTATGAACCCTTCGAAAATGTCTCAAGACTGAGACATTCTAATAAGGAAAACCATGAACTTCACACACGTCAAATGCAAATCATATCAACAGAACTTTATTTTCCAACAAGTATAGAGATTAGATCATATTCTGTTTTTAGATTTGACACACTACAGTCAAATGTGCTTTATCCAATCAGATTGAATCCATTTGGATGTTACAAGCTAAATCAATTCAAACGTCCAGTAAAGGATGGGAAGGCAGCAAATTACACGCAACAGAGCACTGACAAAATCACATGCACACACAATCACAGGGTGGCCAAGTAGTCTTTAAAATGTAAGTCGAATTCTACAAGATTCTCAGTGATTTTGTGGCTTTTTATGGCTTTTATCGGGTTTCCCAACCAGGCTTCATGAACCCCTAGAATTTCATGAGGCTTCAAAATAAATAATTTTAATGATATAATACATATATAAAAAATATATATAAAATAAAAAATAATAACAGTACTTTTCATAAATTACACTTTATATTAGGTGTCTTTAACTACTATGTACTTTAACAAAATAAGTAAATTGTACTTAATTTTTGTCCATGTATTGCAAAACACATACGGGTATAAGGTTAGGGACAGGTTTAGTGGTATGTGTAGGTTTCAGGGTGGGTTAAAAGGGAAGGGAAGAGTCAACAGTGTAATTATAGCCGTAAATACAGAAATTATAACAGATATAATTACACGCAGGTAATTATAATAATATAAGTACAATGTAAAAACATGTACACAATAAGTGCATTGTATCAAATCATTCATTTAAATGTTAGTACATAGTAGTTAAAGACACTTAAAGGTCCACTGAAGTGCCTAGAAACGTGCAGCATTACTCAATGTGTTGACGTTATATCCACTGAAACAGGAAAACAGGGCGGGACATATCGAACAGCCCCTCCCCTTTTTGAAATGGCCAATAGCGTTTAGTTTATATCACAGCTTGGCTGTTGAGCTCGGCAAAACCGTATTTGGTATGACAGCCACAGACTAATAGACTCCCCTTTTAGATTTAACATGCAACTGTTACTAAAGCAAAACAGTGAACATAATTATGCTGAGCAAGTGTAGTTTGTGTAGATGTGTAGTTTTGAATATTTATGTTGGTGCATGCATGGCACCGATGTGATCACTTCCACTTGTCAGTTTCTAATGCCGAGTCTGTCTAATCTTTTCTCCTCCTAATTTCCTTCATATAACTTTAAAATACACCATTCTGTGTAGAATTCAAATGGGTTCGATACCTTTTGTGGTCTGCGCCGATCCGCGCATTTGATCCTCTCTGTGCTATCGTGTCTCTGGACCGGAGCTGACTGTGCGCGCTGCGGTGGTTCGCATGACACTAATGTGAAACTAGACTTCATTCTCCCCAATGGAAAGCATATTTACACTGTCTGAAATCATTCCCTATCCCCTATATAGTGCATTAGGTGCCATTCACCATATGGAAAATAGTAATAGTGTGAACAAGTGACCGATTTCAGCCAGAGCTTCAGCCACTATTTATAGTGCAGTGGGCGGAATGCTTCAGATTCGAGAGAGCATTTGATTGGAATAAGGAGTGATGTGATCAAAATCATTGATCCATATTGGTGGAAGCGAGAGACTGTAAGTTTTGAATGCTTGTAAATTTCATGGGGAGTTTAACAAAGTGGGACCAGGGCTGTCAAAAGAATAATGTTTTAATCGCGATTAATTGCACGCTTATTGTGAAATTAAGCATACAGCAATCAGAGCTTGTGTTTTAAAGCGAAACACACTGGAATGAATAATTCACTGAAAACGCAACGAAAGTCTCTACTCTCTCTGCCATCTCTTTACATTAAAGGTTCTCTAAGCGATCCTGGGTGACGTCACTTCTTGTTGACGTTCGAACTATTGTCAAACAAAACGGAGGCTAGCTAGACCCTCCCTCCTCCTCATCCGCACACTAACCCCCCAAACCACACCCCCAAACCCTTCTTGTCGGTCATTGGCTGGAACAGTTTGTTATGTTTCGGGGAGCGGGTCGCCGCAGTTTGTTTTTGTTGCTGTTTGTGGAGCCTGGGCTGTCTACAGAGATCGCGTTTCTTTACAGTGTGTTCAGGGGACAGGCAGCCAGCGGATAGTGAGGAGATGTTTGCTGTATGTGACAAAAAATGTTTTGGCCTAAAAAACGCGTGACATCGCTTAGAGCACCTTTAACACTGTTTTTGGACCAATTGCTTAAAAGAATTCACTTACTGGATCATTAAACTAAAAACTTTCCCGGAGTTTAACGAAATTAAATGACCGCAAACAGAAGCAAAATCGGGTTAAAGGGTTAGAATAGAAATTTCCACATATGCTTGTGCCACTGTAGATGGTCAGTGTGATAAACTCCCGACTTCTAAGATAATCTGAATGCGTGATGAGGCAATATCACATGCTTCAGTCATTTATTTGCGCTATTATTTTAAGGCGTCAAAGATTTTGAATTATTCGCATGTGTCAATGCATTAACGTTGATAGTCCTAATATGTATATGTGTTTTGAAGTAAATTTTTTTAAAGATGATTTTAAGATGGAGTTAAAATAATTTAGCGGGCTATTTCAAGTAACAAAAAGGTAACAAAAAGATGGTGGGATAAAGGGGATTGAAAAATGACAACTGAGCCAAGGACCCCCATTGTCAACTACTATATTCGTAATATTCTTGATGTACAGTAAAATGCATGTTTTTACTTCAGATGAATCTTGTCTGCTTAGCCTACAAATATATTTCACATCAACTTTCAGTGTCACTAAGTAAAAGCCAGGTCCAGTCAAAAACATGAGGGAATCACACTGGATTACACTCCGTCTATTTCAGCAGGAGTATTGAGGGTGAGTAGAGAGATGACTGTGTCCAGTGACTGAGGTTAATTGAGATAATATTGACCCTCTCTGTAATCTCCTCTTCCCACTCAGGGGGCCACATGCCTTCAACATACATAAATAAACAGCTACATGAGGAACTATAATCGCATTAGCACATCGACAACGGACGGCAGAAAATGGCGGATCCATATCGAAAGATTTTCAGAGAGGAGGGGAGTAATTAAAAGGTGCTTCAGGTGACTAATGAGGCCGGCGTGGAATGGGAAGTCGATATTTTGGCGGCCAGCAGTCAGCACTAATTTGTTATGATGGCTGGTGGGACTAAAGCCTCTCTGCCGATAATTACGCTGCTAAAGATGGAAGAGCAAGGAAAAGGAAAAATCTGATTTTAGGTTTTTCCACAGAACTCCACACACATATGCTATAAGGCAGATTGTCACTGTCATGTGACCTACGGCGTCAGATGCATAGCTTCACCACCATTGGTTATTAATGGGATAACCATGAGATATTAAAGTTTCCATCGAATGCGCACAGCAGAATCTCGGTGAAAGTAGAAGGTTATCCGTGTACTTTTTGAGTACCGTTTTTTGAATACTATGTATTCGTACATACTACTCCGTTGCTGTAAAAAATGTTCTATACTATGTAGTTGGGAAATATAAAGTAGGAAAATATAATCAGTACCTTGTTTACATTAAGTGGAAATAATGATAGATGTTACACCCACAAAGTGAAATGATTGGTTATGTGAAAAGCTCAAACAGATAGAAAGAGGAAATAATGTAAATGTGTACCTGCTGGCATCAGGAGCAGGCTTTAGGCGTCCTTGAGCATTGGCCTCCCACACACTATTAGCCAGCTCATTTCCAATGGCAGACATGACCTTGATGAGCTCCAGGGGCCACTCGTCCAGGTCCAAAGAGCGAACACGGGACAGGTGAGTACCCAGGTTCCGATGGATGCCTGAACATTCGATACAGATCAAAGCCCCTAGGTTCAGACTGGCCCAATCAGGATCTGAAAAAGCCAAAAAAGAGAGACAGAAAAAATGAAACAGTCCATAAGTTTATATATATATACGGCATAACCGTGTATATATGGCATATATAACCCTAATTTGTCCATATAGAAGGATCATTCTGTTTGTTGCATCATTTAGCCAGACCAATATGTAATGATCAGTACATGATACGAAATGTAAAAACAGATCTCAGATTATAACAAATTTATTCAGGTCAAAACTCACTCTGAGCTTCACAATCCACACAGCGTGTGTTTCCTCTCATGTTCCTGACAGACTGCAGCGCGATGGCTTCTGATTGGCTGCTCAGACGAGACTACGGGCACATAAGTTAAAGTTTGTTTCAAAGGTAATGACTCTCATGCAGCATATTATAAGGCATCATTAGACAATTCTGACTACACAGCAACATCGCAAACACCCAGCATTTTATGCTGAAATGAGATTCCAAAGTGGGGAAACAAGCGGAGCTAAATAAAAATAATAGAGGCACTGTAGAAGGTCCAAGGAAATGCAATTTGCCCTGGCCTGAGGCATAAACACACAGTGGGTTGCGAGTTAAAATTGTAGCTATGAAACTGGCATGTAATACTGCAGGAGGGTAATATTAGAATGAAAGTAATTACAATTTCTAAACATGGGCATGAATGTGTAACATATATATATATATATATATATATATATATATATATGTTACACATTCATGCCCATGTTTAGAAATTGTAATTACTTTCATTCTAATATTACCCTCCTATATATATATATACACTCACCGGCCACTTTATTAGGTACCCCATGCTAGTAACGGGTTGGACCCCCTTTTGCCTTCAGAACTGCCTCAATTCTTCGTGGCATAGATTCAACAAGGTGCTGGAAGCATTCCTCAGGGAGTTTGGTCCATACTGACATGATGGCATCACACAGTTGCCGCAGATTTGTCGGCTGCACATCCATGATGCGAATCTCCCGTTCCACCACATCCCAAAGATGCTCTATTGGGTTGAGATCTGGTGACTGTGGAGGCCATTTTAGTACAGTGAACTCATTGTCATGTTCAAGAAACCAATTTGAAATGATTAGAGCTTTGTGACATGGTGGAAGTAGCCATCAGAGGATGGGTACATGGTGGCCATAAAGGGATGGACATGGTCAGAAACAATGCTCAGGTAGGCCGTGGCATTTAAACGATGCCCAATTGGCACTAAGGGGCCTAAAGTGTGCCAGGAAAACATCCCCCACACCATTACACCACCACCACCAGCCTGCACAGTGGTAACAAGGCATGATGGTTCCATGTTCTCATTCTGTTTACGCCAAATTCTGACTCTAACATCTGAATGTCTCAACAGAAATCGAGACTCATCAGACCAGGCAACATTTTTCCAGTCTTCAACTGTTCAATTTTGGTGAGCTCTTGCAAATTGTAGCCTCTTTTTCCTATTTGTAGTGGAGATGAGTGGTACCCGGTGGAGTCTTCTGCTGTTGTAGCCCATCCGCCTCAAGGTTGTGCGTGTTGTGGCTTCACAAATGCTTTGCTGCATACCTCGGTTGTAACGAGTGGTTATTTCAGTCACTGTTGCCCTTCTATCAGCTCGAACCAGTCTGGCCATTCTCCTCTGACCTCTGGCATCAACAAGGCATTTCCGCCCACAGAACTGCCGCTCACTGGATGTTTTTTCTTTTTCGGACCATTCTCTGTAAACGCTAGAGATGGTTGTGCGTGAAAATCCCAGTAGATTAGCAGTTTCTGAAATACTCAGACCAGCCCTTCTGGCACCAACAATCATGCCACGTTCAAAGTCACTCAAATCAACTTTCTTCCCCATACTGATGCTCGGTTTGAACTGCAGAAGATTGTCTTGACCATGTCTACATGCCTAAATGCACTGAGTTGCCGCCATGTGATTGGCTGCTTAGAAATTAAGTGTTAACGAGCAGTTGGACAGGTGTACCTAATAAAGTGGCCGGTGAGTGTATATATATATATATATATATATATATATACACATACACACACACTATATACACATATACATATACACACATACATATATACACAATATATATATATATATAGCCATGTAACAAGAAGGTGGGTCATTTTAATTATCTTATGCACTTAACAGGTGTTTTTCATTAAGAAGCAGTGAGGCTTTTTTAATATAATTTTTTTAATACTTTTTACAAATCTAATTATCTAATGAGGCTTACTTTATGCCCCCAATTAATTGAAATTAAATTTTTATTCAGAAATTGAAAACACTCCCCTCATAGAAGGGGTGTATTCAAGTTACTGTATGCGTAAACTGCATTGTTTATGTAATTTTGAATAAATTAATAGATGAGCGTCAAGAAACTGACCCATAAACAACACACCTGCTCTTTATATCAATTCCCTTGCAAGTGGAACATCATTTTTGTGAGAGCATGAAAAAGTTTGAAAACCCCTGGTCTAAATCACAGCAATACATGGCATAATATGTGAAACACACTGTTTTAGTGCTTTGAATCTGTTTTCTACCTTCTGTTTGCTGCTCTCGCAGGACTGCAAGCTCGCCAGGATCTGGCTCTCAATGGCCTGAACCCATGCGTCCCGCTCCTCATAGGATGTTGCCTCAAAATTCCAAGTCTGTCCCGTCAGAGAAACAATGATGAACTCAAAGTTGTCCTCTTGTTCTAGACCAGATGGGAGAAAACAGTCAGGATGATTACTAATCAACAGCTACAAAAGCAGAGAATCAGAATGTTTATTAAGTGATGCATGTCATTTAAAAAAATATATATTTTAGTCATTTCTGTTTGTTTTAAAGACACTTATGAACATTTTATAAATGTGATGGTTTCTGAGTGCAGCTTAAGACATTATATGAATGCTAAACTCAAACACTTTGGTTGTACTGTTCTGGGATAAAAGTCACCAGGAAGGATTCTCGCCCCTGTGGAGCACCTGTTAGCTGCAGGACACACTCCACAACCCCTGACCTGGAGGGCTTGCCCCGCGACCCTGGTCAGGATATGCCACTAATTACAGACCAGACCAGACCAGCATCACGATCTTTCCAACCGTGCTGCTGGTCCTGTCCACAACACTCCCTAGGCAAAGTGACATATGGATCTGCTATCCAGGGCCCCGGTTAGGTTAATGGGCCAATCACAAGACAATTAGGAAAATGTGTGTGTGTGAGAGTGAGTGAGTGAGTGAGAGAGATAGAGTGAGAGCCCCCTTTTCAGGAGTTTATATCAAGAGTTTGAGTACAGAGAAATGGAGGGAGGTTATTTAGCGGCACTGAGGGTCAACATTTGGAAAGTGTTAGGAACAAAAGGCCATTGACTGGGTGATCAGATGGGACAGCAATGGAAGGGGCAAGCAGATGGCTTGAACAGAGAACCTGCATTGATGAGATGTGTTGGTGTGTCACAATCAAAGGGATCCCCCCCCCGAAACACGATCTGAGCCAGTAAGAGATCACACACTTTACACATTCTGTTTATAATTTACTCTGGAGTGGGCAATTACATAATGAAGAAGTAATCAGTAAGTAATACCCCTCCACACACACACATAGGGGCATCCCTAAGGCCAAAATGCCATATGAAGTGGAAAGACCCATGCACTCCATAGCATCTGCAGGCCAATGAGAACAGGAAACAACCTGGAAACTCTGTATTCTAGAATACAATCTAATCCCTCACGGATGGCTGGTATCCCTGACAGGCAAACTCATTTCTTTGCTTTTTACACAAAAATGCCTAGAACAACTGATTGGCTAACGTTGGGATTCAGTTGGAGTCAGGATACGTTTCGTTTTAACGAGGAAGAACTAAACATTGTATCTTTGAAAGAAAAAAAGCTTACATAGCCTCTTCCTGTCTGAAGATGAAAGTATCCATCAATGACAATGGACTGTGTGCATGTATCTCAAATTTAGGTGACGATATGCACAAAAATGAAAACAACAAAAGACAGGAAATAACAATAAAGGCATGTTATATTAGTGTCCACATTAATAGATAATATTCTGTTTATGTTGAGGTGGGCTGCAGGTATCTGCTGCTTTAAATGCTCTATCAGGGATATTCAATTAAATTCCAAGAGGTCCGGTCTCTATATTTCCTTCCCAGCAGAGGTCCGGACAATACTTTTTTGGATAAATTTCCATCTGGGCAGCAGTAGTAATTTGTAAAAAACAACAACAAAAACCTAAACAGTCAAAATGGTCATCAAAGATGAGTATGTTGGGCCTCAGAGTCAAAGCAGTGATTTCTAAGAAGCTACTGTGTCAGGGTTCAGGGTTTTCCTCTTTTCAAGTCTGGACAATTTTTTTATTTTCTTAAAATAAGTATCTACTATAAACAAGGTACACAATCAAAATGCCCTCATCATGAACACAAAACAAATTTAACTAGTTATTTCAAGGTTTTAGTTGTCTATAAATAATTTTCCCAATTATAACATCATTTATTATGAAATGCTCATTACATAATGCTCAATATAGATTAAAAAAAAAGTCTTTCCAAAAAACTTGTTTAAATGGTCGGAGTCATATATGACAGATACAAATAGTTGTATTTGCGGCATTTTAATTTTCTGCAGTGTTTTATGAATCTAGATTGTTGTTCACTGTTTCTCTACTGTTGTTGTTGTTAAAATAACCGCGATCTCTGAAGCTCTTATAGCACTGTAGTGTCTTCAGCGGGAGAGAGAAGCAACGCACACAAAACAAAAAAGGCTTAAATGAAGCACCGTTTGCTCTAGATAGAAGTATCAGAGTATATAGTGCCGAAAGATCATTACCATAAACGACCCTGAGTGCTTGTGGCGTGAACCGCTCCGTTGTTTTGACGTGTTGCTCACTTTAAAATACAGAAACGGTAAAATGGTGCTACAGTTGTCATTTTGTCTCGAGGTCCGATTGGAACCAAGCCTTGGTCCAGAACCGGACCGCAGTCCGCTATTTGAGGACCCCTGCTCTAGTTCCTTAAAGCTGGGTGGATTCTGATTGGCTATCAATGTTAGTTTGAATGCAAACTTAGTTTGAAAGAGGTCAGGTCGTGTATCACAACAGCTAAAGTGAACATGTTGAATGTGTTTGTAAGGGCTTATGGTCAGTGGCATCAAAGGTTACAACTCTCACGCCATTCCAATCCTGTAGGACCTTCTTTTGTGGAACAAAAAAAAAAATGTAAAAAAAAAATTGACTGTTTTAATTGTTTTTGCACATATAATAGAAGTTTTACATCAGACTTTGTTTAGACAACTTTTTTTTTTTTTTGTGAGAACATTTTTGTAACTTTTCAGTTGTACAGGTTTGGAATGAGATAAAGGGGCAGTTTTTGCCAGAATAAGCTGTAATGTGGACCAGACTTTATTTATGCTGATAGTCTGGCTCTGTGAATCAGTTATTTTGCCGAATGCAAGTTTAAAACACCTATCAATTGTATTCACAGCTTATTTGTTCTTCTTTCCATAAATAAGCATTCAAACCAATATGTCTATGAGGGTTCTCTTCCAGCTACACTATGTTCTGAAACAGCTTTTCGAATCATCTCCCTGTGAGGCCATTTCACAAGTTTAATCAGCGGGAAATCTGTGCAGTCGCACCATTTCCTCTCCTTCAGTCAATCACAGGCCTAATTGAACTCCTATCATACAAGTCATATTAAAGGTCCCGCAGGGCCATGAGCCACCCTCACTGCTGTAAAAGAGCCTTGTGTTTAAATCCCCAAATTCCTCCCTTACAGAAAGACATGCTTGGTAGACGGAATGCTTAAACCTCTCCACTCTCCAAACTCAGAAAAGGGAAGGAAAGAGATCTTTCCTGTTCTGGATCAAAAGAACGAGCCTACATTAGATGATTTGCTCATTTGCAGCAAAAGTCAAACTTAAAACATCAACAAAAAGTGGCTGGGGAGTCTGGGCCTATTATTTATTCATTTTAAGTGTTTTTTTTTTATTAAAATTTGCAAGGTTTGGGGGTTGGTGGGATCACTGGAGCATCCCAGCCTAGATTGGACCCACCCTTCAAAGGCACCGGGCCCTCCGGGGTCAGCAGCAATGTTCTCACCCTTATTAAATTGCAGTGCTGTTGGGGAGAGGGCGGTATTTGACAATTATGAAAAGCAACAATGCAGAAAGATGATATTCAGAGGCAAATATGAAGATTGGCTCCGCCTCCTCCCCTTAGCACACAATTAATAAGAAAACAATTGTGTAATACAAAAACTGCGATGACAGGGCATCAGGCAGCCACCCCTCCCCTCTATTTCGCCCTTAAACTTTAAAATGGGGCAGCTATCATTCATCTGGTGCCTGGTGCTGATCTCCATAATCCACAAGCTACTAATATGACGATAATTACTTTCTGTGCAATTTAGACCGAAAGTATCCAATCATTTCTGCGCTTTTCTATTCTTGTGGTTTGATGTTCAGGCATATTGCACAGGCAAGGAAATTTGTGAACTCTGACACAGGCAACCTTTACCAACAAACGGCACACAATCAACTCGGAGAGAAAAAGATGCAGCATGCACAGAAATGAGGCAGGATAGGGTGGGGGTGTTACCTCCACACGGCAGTGCTTGGGGGTACAGTGGAAGAGTTGAATGCTTGGAAACACAAATTAACCGAGCGAAATGTCAAAGCACACAGTATTGCTTTGTGACACAGGTCATTAATTCCCATATTATCCCCTCTCCTTTCAAGCATCCAGCATTAATAACCTGGCAAATATTACAGGAGTTATTCACATCCAGGGAAAAATGTGAACAAATAAATAAAGCAGAGGAGGGGTGGAGTCGTGGGAAAGGGGGTGTGCAAAGAGGAGGAGCCAAAACATATGTGCCCTCCCACAATGTGTTCAATATCACCAAATTACATCATCCAATTTACCATCACTAAATAATTAAAACTCAAACACGACACTTTAACACATACAAACACGATCACGGAAGCAAAGCATACCTTTACAATCGTTACATGCTCTAAGAACCGTAAGTGCCGTGCAGGGAGTGTTTCAGGGGTTAACAGTACATCGGGGAGGACTGAAGGATAAAGCATAATCACAGGGTATGTGTGAAGGGTTTGTCTAAAAAACAGGGGCACACTGAGTTCCCCCTCGCTCTGTTTTCTGGAGCTAGTTACCTTCAACGTTGGAGGCAAAGCTGTAAATGTTGCGAAGACTACTGACGCGATTTAGTTTCCATGCCCTACGTACTTTGGCTGCATCCGACGGCAGGCACAGGAATAAGCGGAGAGAAAGAAAAAAAAGACGAAAAAGCAAATGATAGGAGTGGAGAAAGTAGAACAGCCAAAAAGATATTTGGGAAATAAACAGGAAGTGTCAAAGCAATGAAATACAATTCACAGAGAACATCAGGATTGAAAACAAAGGATGAACTGCAGTCAGCAGGCAAAAGTGCAAATATTCCTTTAAATGAGAATGATATAGACATTTTTAGTTAGCTAATGAAGTCATTGGGTATGAAGCAGGTTTGAAAACACATTGCATTAGTTAAAAAAATGCAAAATAATGCACCGCTTGAGTGGAAAACTGCAAGACAAAACAGGTTGTGTTATCATGCAATGAAAAATAAAGATAAATCTATGCATTTCATAACAGTGGAATAAAGGGTGTTTCGTCAAGTATGGCACTTTTGGTCCCGTGTTTAATTTCTCC